ATCGATATGAATGTAGTTGTAATCATACAACTTCATTTGCTCTTATTTGGTTACCAAAATTACCTCTCACACGTCATCTCAATGCACAAGACATTGCATCACTTATATTTCAATCAATTTCAATTTTATGTTTTATAGCAATTATTATTCATGGATTAACTGTTCGAATTTTTGATCCACTGGGATCTATACAAGCACGTCATTTACTTCCATTAATATCATGTGCAGTAACAATAATTCTTTTTATTTTTTATATTGCTTTATCAATGACAGTTTATACAAAAACAACATATGACGATGAAAAACAATGTTTTACAAGTTCAAGTGTATTGATGTTTTTTGTTTATTTCTTTTTAATTTTTATGTTTTGTGTCAAAACAAGTGTTGGATATTTTAATTATTTACGATTTGTTCGTCTATTTCCTGAACCATCATATCGACTATTATATATAATGCTTGTTATTTCATTTTTTATTTCTATTACATGGGTAGCTTTTGCAGCTGGATTTAATTCTAATTCATCATTTCATATTACTCAATTATATCCATATAAACTTTGTTGGTTTACTCGTCCTGCTATTTATTATTTTTTGACAATACCTGTTGGTATTTTTCTCTTAATTAATATATTTATATTTATTCGTGTAGCTCAACGTATAGTAAATCATGTTCTATATGCAAATTCAACTCATAAACCGTATGAAAGAATGAAAGGATGTATACTTGTTTTACTTTCATCATGTGCAACTCAAGGTATTGGTTGGCTTCTTGGTCCATTTTTGACAATTGCTAATGAAAATACTGCCCAAGTTTTAGGATGGTTTTTTATTATTTTTAATGGATTAGAAGGACTTTGGTGTATTCTTTTATATATCATAATTTGGTTACAACATTGGGATGAACGAAAACGTGTTATGGCTTCGAAAGAACTAGCAAAATCAAAGAGTTTATCCTTTAGAAAACATGAAAAACATCGTAAACAAGATTTATATCATGATTCATTCACAGGATTATCAATGGATAATGAAGATTCTCGAAGACAATCATATATTTTCGATGATCTATATAATTGGGAAATTACCGATGGAACAAGTACCTATTGTTAAAAAGAATTATTACTATCAAAACTTTGAAGTACTCTTGTCAGTTTTTTGTTTTGCTTTTTCTAGTTTTAGTTTTGTATTTTTTAAATTTTTTTGAAACATGTTTATATATTTAATAAAATATAAATTAATACAGACAATTGTTTATTTTTTTAATCTAATATTTTATTTTCAATTGAAAAACAAGTAAAAATTAATTTAAATATTACAAAAAGAAAAATTCTTAAATAGAAATACTATGTAACTTTATAATTTGAAATGACATATAAATTAATAAACAGAAAAAAAATAGACAAAGACTAATATAGTGTGAAGAATTATGTAGAATAAATAAGTATCAAAGTAAAACTTGCATACTAACAATTTATGATAACTACTAGCGACATATATGAAGAGGTACATTGAATAAAATCTATTTGTCTGTATTTTTTTCCAATAAATATATCATTGCCACGTTTCATTTCATTTTTAATCTTCATCACTATATTAATATACAGAAGTTCATTGTCTTTGCATTTTATTAAGAAAAAAAAAATGGCTACTTATCAAGAATTTATAGCTCAAAATGAAGAACGTGATGGTGTTCGTTTTACATGGAATGTTTGGCCATCGACACGTCTTGAAGCAACACGACTTGTTGTACCACTTGGTTGTCAATTTACACCATTAAAAGAACGTTATGATCTTCCACCATTAAATTATGATCCTGTTTTATGTACAAATAAAACATGTCGATCAATATTAAATCCATTTTGTAATGTTGATTATCGTGCTAAAATTTGGATATGTAATTTTTGTTTACAACGTAATAATTTTCCACCACAATATGCTGGTATAAGTGAACAATTACAACCAGCTGAAATTTCACCACAATATACAACTATTGAATATACATTAATGGTAAATACAGTGACGTATCCAGGATTTTTCAGTATGTTGAATCTCGATTTCCAAGCACGGGACCCAGATGAAACTCATGGAGGGTGATATTGGATCCAAATAATGGAATTTTATTAAAAAAAATTTACATTTGGAGTTTGCGAAAAAAATTAGCATTTTCCTGATCCTCCTCTCGAGGATTTTTTGCTGTTAGTAGTATCATAGTTTTTAGAATTTCATAGGAAGCTACACTGAATTTCATCGATAGATTTCATATTTCGTTTAAAAATATGCAACCGTTGAAGAGTTATAACTTTTTGAGTTTTTGCTACATGTGAAAACAATTTTTGCAATATTTCAAATCGTCATAACTCTTGAACGGTTGCATATTTTTAAACGAAATTTGAAATCTATCGATGAAATTCAGTGTAGTTTCCTATGAAATTCTAAAAACCATGATACTACTAACAGCAAAAAATCCTCGAGAGGAGGATCAGGAAAATGCTATTTTTTTTTCGCAAACTCCAAGCGTAAATTTTTTTTGATAAAATTCCATTATTTGGATCCAACATCGCCGTCTTTGAGTTTCATCTGGATCCCGTGCCCAGAAATTGAGATTCAGCATACTGAAAAATCCTGGATACGTCACTGATATATATTTATTAAATGATTTTTATTATTTTTCTTTTTAGCGTATGCCAGCTCAACCAACTGTATTTTTATTTGTTGTTGATACATGTATGGATGAAGATGATATGACAGCATTAAAAGTAAGATTAAATTTTTTGATATTTTTATTTTTATTTTTTTGTATTTCATAGGAATCATTACAAATGGCTTTAAGTTTATTACCATCTGATGCTCTTGTTGGTTTAATAACATTTGGTCGTATGATACATATTCATGAACTTAATTGTGAAGGTATGACACGTAGTTATGTATTTCGTGGTACAAAAGATTATACAGCTAAACAAGTTCAAGTAAAATTATTAAATAATATATATATATTGAAATATTTTTTAAATAATTATTAGGATATGCTTGGTTTAATGAAACAACAAGCAAATCAAAGACCAGTACCTGGAAATCCACAACAACAACAACAACAGCCAACAAATTTTTTTAGCAAGTAAGAAAATTTTGTTTGTTTTTATTTAAATGTTTTTTGTTATTTTAATTAGATTTCTTCAACCACTTTCAACATGTGATATGTCATTAACAGATCTTCTTGGTGAACTTCAACGTGATCCATGGCCTGTACAACAAGGTAAACGTGCTTTACGATCAACTGGTGCTGCACTTTCAATAGCTATTGGTTTATTAGAAGTATAAAATAATTTGAAATCATATCTTTTTTTTTGATTTTTTTTTTTTTTTTTGTTAGACACTTTATCCAAATACTGGAGCTCGTATAATGTTATTTATTGCTGGTCCATGTACACAAGGACCAGGTATTATTATTGATGAAGAATTAAAACATACAATACGTTCACATCATGATATTGAAAAAGATAATGCAAAATATATGAAAAAAGCAATTAAAGTATGATAAATTTAATTTTTGTTTCTTTTTAAATAGAGATTTCATGCATATATATAATCTTAATTCAATGATATAGACTTGTTTTTTTTTTCTATGAATTTGAAACTACTTTTATTTTTTTTTAATAGTTTTATGAAGGATTAGCAAATCGTGCAGCTGTTAATGGACATGTTATTGATTTATATTCATCAGCATTAGATCAAACTGGTTTACATGAAATGAAATATTGTACAAATTATACAGGGTAATTTAATTCTTTGAGAATTGTTTTTTTTTTAAATATTTAAAATTGAATATTATTTTAGTGGTCATATGGTAATGGGTGATTCATTTAATACATCATTATTTAAACAAACATTCCAAAAAGTATTTGCTAAAGATAATAAAAATGAATATCGAATGAATTTTGGTGCAACTGTTGAAGTCAAAGTAAAAAAAAAAAAAGGAAATTAAACATATTCTTTTATTTTTATTATATAGACAAGTCGTGAACTTAAAGTATGTGGTGCAATTGGTTCTTGTGTATCACTTGCACAACGTGCATCAAATGTATCTGAAACTGAATTAGGTATGGGTGGAACAAATGCATGGAAAATTTGTGGTATATATCCAAATTCAACATTATCAGTCTTTTTTGAAGTACTTAATCAAGTAAGATTTTTGAATGTTTTTTTTTTTATGTATAAAATTTATTAATTTGATAGCAAGCATCAACACAAATTTCATCAGGTGGTCAACGAGGATATGTTCAATTTATTACACAATATCAACATTTATCTGGTTTTAAAAAAATTCGAGTTACAACTGTAGCAAGAAAGTATGTGTCTAAGTTCGAGAGTTACGAATCTACGTTTTTTTGGATTGGTCAAGTTTTGACTTGAGTTTGTTTTTTTTTGGCTCAAATATAGTATTAGAGAATTACAAAATCGAAGTTGTTGTGAACTCTTACAGCTCTCTAGTCTGAAGCTATTACTAGGGGTCGAACAGCTCCCCAGGTCAATAATTCCGGTGAACAGATGCCGCAGAAACCAGCGGGAAAACTCACCGTATCCTGCAGGAAAATCGCGGGAACATGGAAGCAGTATTCCGGCCGGAAATTTTTCGGATTTTTTCTGGCCGGTTTCTGCTGGAAAGCACAGAAAGTTGGTCGGAATCTACCGAAAAATTTCCGGCGGGAATACTGTTTCCGGTATTTTCCTGCCGTACGTCTTTCTTTTGAGCTGAGTTGAACCGATTCGTTTGAGCTGTGTTCCCAAAACAGAACACTTTTGTTCCGTTTTCGGGAAATAATTCCCATAATAGAACAAAAGTGTTCTATTATGGGAATACAGCTCATAAGAGCTGTTCGAACAGTTCCTCTGTGCTCAGCTTGTCGACGCCTAGCTATTGGAAAGAAAAATTTGAATTATGATTGTCACATACAGATTACTTCTAAATTACTTAGTCACATCAAAATAAGAAAAAAAAAAAGGTTGACAACTTAATTAACATTTGATGATGTGAATAATAATGAAAAAAATGTCATCATAAAATAAATTATCTATCTTTTATGTTTATGACATTTAAGAAAATTTAATTATAATCTTTTCATATTATTACAATCCAAAATATCTAACAGAAAAAATATTTAATTATTATAGTTTAATTGATGCTGTATCAAATATGCCAACAATTGCTGCATCATTTGATCAAGAATGTGCTAGTGTAGCAATGGCTCGTATTGCAGTTTATCGTGCTGATACAGAAGAAGGTTCGGATATACTTCGTTGGTTAGATAAAATGCTTATACGACTTGTATGTTATATTCCTATTTAATTTTCATAATAATAATGTTTTTGTTTTTTTTGTTAGTGTCAAAAATTTGCTATTTATGAAAAAGATAATCCAGGTTCATTTCAATTAACAGATACATTTACACTTTATCCACAATTTATGTATCATTTACGTCGTTCACAATTTCTTCAAGTATTTAATAATAGTCCTGATGAAACAGCTTTTTATCGGTAAATTCAAAAAAAAAAAAGCGACAAAAATTTATTTAAATATTATTTATTTCTATAATAGACATTATTTACTTGTTGAAGATTTAACACAATGTCTTGTTATGATTCAACCAATTCTTTATGCTTATTCATTTAATGGTCCACCAGAGGTAAAAGAAATTTATATATTAAATCTATATTCTAATCACAAGTCAGTTATTATTAAGAAATATAAATAAATCTTTATAATACTCGTATTCATTCTCTAGAGATTTGAAAGCGAAATATATTTTTCTAAAGATTCATATCAATCGATAGAAAACGTTTTCATTCAAAAATAAATTTACACGATTGATTGCTTTTACTCTTGGGAATAATATTCAAAAATTTCTTTTTTCTAGCCTGTACTTCTTGATAGTAGTAGTATATTACCTGATCGTATTCTTTTAATGGATACATTTTATCATATATTAATATATCATGGTGAAACAATTGCACAATGGTTTAAAGCTGGTTATCAAGATTTACCTGAATATGAAAATTTTAAACAATTATTACAAGCACCTGTTGGTGATGCAACTGAAATTCTTCAAAATCGTTTTCCTATGCCACGTTATATTGTAACTGAAGCTGGAGGATCACAAGTAAATATATATATATATAATCTTTTTTTTTTTAATTTTAAAAATTTATTTTTAGGCTCGATTTCTTTTATATAAAGTTAATCCATCACAAACACATACAAATTTTGGATGGGGACAAGTAGATAAAAAAGAAAAAAAAAAATGATTTTATAAATATATATATATTTTCTTTTTTTAGGCTGTTGGTGCACCAATTTTAACTGATGATGTTAATTTACAAACATTTATGGAACATTTAAAAAAATTAGCTGTATCATCAACAACATAAAAACATTTTTTTTTTTAGTTTGTTATTTCGTTTAAGAAAAATCTATTCGTGTTTTCGTGCTTGTTGATTTCTGTTGTTCTAGTAAATGTTAAAAAGAGAAAAAAAAAATCGATTATATCTTACATTCTTTATGTTGTTGCTTTTTTTGTTTTTTTTTTTTGATGAACTTATTCCAAAATGAATGCTAGAATCTCTCTCATTATGATTCATTGCAACTATCAATCAACATATTTATTTGATCGAAATAAAAATAAAATATTGAACTATCTATAAATTTAATTTTATGAAAGTTTAAATTGATTGACAATATATATATATCTATGCATTAGAATAGAACAAATGGAATGATTTTGTTTTGTTCATCGGTTTGTAATATATATACATATATATTCATGAATAATTTATGAAACTTATTTAAGATATATGATAAGTATTTAAATTTTATTGATATAATATCTTATGTTAAATGAAGAGATTTTTGTTTTTTTTTATTATAAATTATATTGAGTGAGAAAAAATGGTTAACAAAAAAATATTCTTTGAATTATGATATTTGATTGATTTATATGAACAATTAAGTCTTTAAATTGTTTGTTTGTTTCTTTTTTTTGTTTTAAATAATTATAATCTTCTTTTCTGAAGATATTCGACGTAATTTCTTATTATAACATGCAATCTTAGTGTTTATTTTTATTCTTTTGTCATAATTCATCATATGATAATAATATAAATCGATGATAAGAATATATATATATATGTATTATGTCTAAGATACAAAAAATTAGTCATATATTGTATATAACAATGACTCTTTTTTTTCTGTTTTTAACTATAATAGTCTAATTAAATGTTTTTCAACAAAAGTAAACAGACAAAAGATTGTCAATATTTTTATTTATTTAATAAACATTGTCGGAATAAGGAAGTTAATATCTAAGACTAACATTGAAGAAAAAAAACAAAAAAATAGTATGATACAATTGTTGAAGATTATTGAATAATATATATAAGAAAAGATATTTGATGAAAATAAAAAGTAACAAACATGAACATTGAAGAGTGATGAATAAGATATACTTCGTCATTCACAATGATGAATATGCGTGCTTCTTTTTTTTTTTTTTTCTCTATTGCATGCTTACTCAAATGATGTCGATAGATGCATACAATCTGATTAAGAAATGAAAGCTTACATTAGTTTTATGGGTGTTGCTTATTTTATTCTATTCAACCCCTCGGGCAATCATCAGTTATGATGTTTATAGTTGTACATCACATCGATTTATCTATTACTTTTCTTTTTTAGTAAAAAAAATAAATAAATATATATATAAAAGAAAAATATTTTTCTTATCGAATCTTTAAAGCTAAATAATACCTTCAATAGAACTATTCATATGTTAGAGAGATATATGAATAGAATAAAAATGATGATGATGATGACAGAACTTTCATAATCAAATTTCCTACTTCATGAGCCACATGTCGGCTTGTGCTTGTCTCTCTTCTTTCAATACCACAGTCAATCAAAAAGTCTACTACTGTGTTGAATGCACACGCACATGAGATAATCGAAAGAGAGATGCTCAATAGAAAGGATGATAAAATTTTAGCATTGCTTTTTTCCTTCTTTTTTTAGAAAATATGTCTATACACATAATAAAATGATGGCTCAATTCTCGCTTTATTACATATATATTTATAGATATAGATATATATATATATAGAGAGAGAGAGAGAGAAAAGAAATGAGAGTTTTTATTGAAGTCGTTTTTTCTTTCTCTATTAATATAGCAAATCTTTTCCAAGTATCTATATCGTTGTCACTCATAGTAATGTAGTTCAAGCGAAAGAAAGTAGACTAGAAAGATAATGCTCTAATCGGGACACGACACTTGAAGAAATAGTTCGTAAGAATCTATCATTTCTTGCTTTTGCAAGAACGAGCACATCGTAGTCTCGTAGTATTTTCCCTTGTTTTCCGAACAACTCGTTTCTCTTCTTCTTCTTCTTCTCTCTTCATCATAGAAGAGAAATATATAGAAAAAAAAAAAAACTAACAACAGTCGAAGCACTCCTATTAACGCACGCACACACACAAACAAACGCACGCAAAACTCGAAGAATCTAATCGTATATAAGTAAATTTTAAATCAATTCAAATATTTTTCAATTGATTAATTTCTATAATAATGTTCTTTACATTTATAATATTCTTGCTTATTATTGGTAAGAATTAATTTGAGGAAAAAAAAAACAAAAGAACAATTCTATTTATTATATATATATCAAATAGATTATTCTTTTGAACAAAAATGTAATCGTGAACGAATACATACATGGAATGCTGAACAAAGATTAATATGTGATTTACTTGATAATTATCAAGTTAAATGGGGTCGACCTGTAAGAAATATGACAGAAGGTGTTGAAGTACGATTTGGTTTACAACTTATTCATATAAGTGATCTCGTATGTTAAAAAAAAAACTCAAATAAAAAAACAAAGATTTTTCTTTTTATTTAGGATGAAAAAAATCAAGTATTAATTACAAATCAATGGCAAATTTATGTACGTAAAATATATAAGATTTCTTTTTGTTGTAATTAGTTTCTATTTTTTTTGATTCATTCAGGAATGGGATGATGAAGCATTGACATGGTAAGTTGAATAGATAAGATTTTTTTTTTTTTTTTTTTTTCATTTTCTATTCCTTATTTATTTTTTTTTTGTTAGGGATCCAGAAGATTATGGTAAATCAAAATGAAGATAATTAATGTAACAAAAAAAAAAAAAGAAAAATTTCATTTTTAGATGATCTCGTAGATATACGTTTACCTATAAAACGCATTTGGCAACCAGATGTGACATTATATAACTAGTAAGTTCTTCATTAAAATCCCAAAAGACAAGATTAGTTAAAGAAACATCTGCAACTCATTTTTCTTCTTTTAGTAAAGAAAAGAAAGATGTGCCTTGAGGATATCCATTGACAGACTCCTAGAGAGAGATTATCATACTTATTTGCTGTTAATATTAGCCCAATTTTGCATTTTCTTTTTTTTTTTTTTTGTTAGTGCTGATACACGTCTTGAAGAAAAACGTGAAGTATTAGCAACAGTTTATCATAATGGAACTGTTTTTTGGAAACCTATGTCAATATTTAAATCTACATGTCAAATTGATATTCGGTTAGTTAATTATTATATAAATATGTTTATGTTTTGGCTTTTTTTTTTTTTTTTTATTAAAGACGTTTTCCATATGATAGTCAAAAATGTTCAATGAAATTTGGTTCATGGACATATGATAGTTCAAAAGTAAATTTACGTTTTTATCGTGATATACAAAAATTTGATCTTAATTCATATGTTAAATCAAATGAATGGTCAATTGTTGGTAATAGTGCATCACGTAATACAGAAAAATATGGTAAAAAAACAAATATATATGACATTTTTAGTAAATCATATGAATTATATTTTATTTATTTTTTATTATAGATTGTTGTCCAGAAATATATGTTGATTTAAAATTTCATATTCAACTTGAACGACGTGGTGGATTTTATAATTATATTTTAATATTACCATGTGTACTTTTATCATGTCTTACATGTATTCTTTTTTGGTTACCAGTAAGAATATATAAATATAAAACTATCCTTTAAATTTTAACATTTTTTTTTGTTTTTATTAGCCGGAAAGTCCATCAAAATTAGTTCTTGGTAAGAAAATAC